CACTCTCCCCTCCTTTATGCGAACAAGAACCCTTGTGAATTTGTACCCCCAAGTGCGTTTACATGCTTGTCATTTATATCCCCGCGAGAGCTTTCGCGATCATCGCCACACTAAAAGCCCATTTTACGCGGCTTTCTCTCGTATTGTCATTCGTTTGTTTTCTATTCACTCTTTTCATTTATTTTTATTCGATTGAGTGCCGAATTTTATTTGACCATGTGTTATTTGATTTGCTAGACGGATCACGGGTAAATGCATTTAATTATCATCCGCGAGCTGTTGCGCAACAATATGGTCTCTCTGTTTTCTGGCGCCCAATTGTCAGGTCAGATCTTAACTAATCTGAGGACTAAGACATTGCAACGAAATCAAAAATACATCAGCTAATTTAACCGTGAAAAAATTTTCTGATATCGCCATTTATGGACAAATATGGCCCTAAATAAATTTTTTATGTTCTGATATGCCCAATCGATGATATTAATAATGACAACGATAAGTTGTGCATAAAAATTAACATATTTTCCCGCGAAAAATTTTTTGATATGGTCTATGTTCATAAATGCCCATATTAAAAAATTTCATAGATCCACACAATTTTTGACATTTTCTGATAAGGTCTGATGAGAAAATTGGCCATATTAGGATACAAATGACTTAAGGTAGTGGTTGCGTGATAGGCATTTCAACAGAAAATTATGAAATTTTTTTTATTGAAAGATAAATATAATATTAATTCACTACCAAAATTTCAGATCAATTTACCGCACCGTTTTTGAGTAATTAATTTTCGAAATTGCATCTTTTACACGTAGAGGTATAGAGAGACGGTAAAGTTAGTATGAAATCTTCCGTACCACTCGAGAGGGCTATTTTGTGTTGAAATGCCTATCACGCATCAACTACCTTAATGTCTTGATATGAATCTATATGTTCATATATATTTCTTGAGCAAATTTCGTGTTGAAAATATCCGACAGTGGGCGTCAGATCACTGAATTTTCTCGTTACAAAATTTTTCCACCGATATCTTTCAATAAATTAAAAAAAATCACATAATTGTAGTGATTTTGGATCAGTAATTGAAAGTAATTTTTGGGAATAAATTTTTGCACCGACAGTATCGGTGTTTAGCTGGACTCTATCAGCTTAAAGCTCCGAGGCTTGTTTGTAAACTACCTAACACCCGGTGGATACTTTGTCCTCTATTCTGCTTCCACACAGAAACGTCAAACTATGTTCACATCTACTTTGTGAAGAATGGGATCCAGTGGACTACTGACGCCAAATAATGTATGTGTGTACCCATGCTTAGAGTGTTTGCTCGTCAAATTAGAAAACGATCGACAGACTCTCCGGCTATTGCCGCAAAGGGAATCTCCCTTGAGTAAAGTTCCTCGTTTGTTAAATATATAGAGGTATATGGACCAAAAATCGACTAATTTTCTTTCTTTGAACTGGCTCAAAATTTTGGTAGAAATAACAAGACAAAAGTTGGAAAAATTTTGAGGCCTTAACATGGAAATTTTGAAGCTTTTAGTTAAAATTTTTTACTCTTTGTAAGTACAGATTTTTTCGAAAATTAAAGATTAAATTTAGGAAGGAAATCGAAAGCTGAACAAAAAATAATTTCATGATTTTGTTGATAAAATCACTCTTTCAAAAGTTTTTCAAGGTCAAAGTTGAACTGTAAAATTCAAATAATGGGTAACTTTTAATAGATCGCGACCTACTCAGCACCGCCAAGTATTCAAAGTCGAATTCAATAAACATCCATTTTTTACACTTCAAAAACCTTTTTTCGAAAATATCCACAGTATCTAGTGCATGGTCACTAAATCGTTTGCTTACAAGTGAGTGACACTTGAGGTAGTAAGTTATAAAATAAAAAATTTTTTTTTGTTTATCGTTCTAAAGACCTCACTAAACATGACTTCTCAGTAGAATCAATTACTGAATCAATTTTTGTTTAATATGAAATGTTAATTAGCCTACAAATTTCTGGAAAAATTAAAAAACTATAACAAACTATTTTTTGTTCTCGCGTGTAGCCTGATCCAGCCAATTTTGATATTTAACCTTATCAAATAAATTTTTCACGGATTATAATTATAAATGATGATTTCAACCCAAGTTAGTGATATAAAAAAATAAAACTTACTGATTCTGGGGTTTGTAACAGTGCGTGGATTAAACGAAAGGAAGTTCTGCCGTTAAGGAAAAAAAGCGAGCTGAATAAAAAGGTATAACTAAAATAAAGGTATAGAGTGGTAACGAGAGGATGGTATTCGCGGTTTAATTCGACTCGGTGCCTACGATTCTCAACGGTCCGGTTTCAGCGTTACGCCCCTACCTACTCAATTATATAAATATATATACATACGTAGATGTAAAAGGAGCTGTAGTGGTTTCATATATATTTGATATAAAGAGAAAAAATATATTTTAGTAGAAGGGGAAGGGGAAGGGGGTAGATGGAGCTGGTGTTGGTAGAAAGACGGGTACTGCTGGTGTGTTAAAAATTCCAAGCGTTGCGGAAAACGACGAGTTATATATATATGAATGGGAAGAGGGATGGAAGAGAAACCAGGCCGGGCGAGGCTCATATCGTATTAATAGGCAATCCGGGCTACCGAGGGGTGTCATAAACTCAAACCCCTAATACTCGCCTAAACTACCTCGGTTAAATAATGGAATCCCTATTTCCTCCCCACCTTTAACCACCCACTGAAATGCCCTCTTCCGACTCAACTCAACTCGACTAAACTGAACTCTCGACGACTATGGTATCCCGCGACGCCTACGCGCACCAACGCTCGTTATCAAATCGACCTCTACCCTTTAGCTTTCTCGTTTTCGTTCTCCTCATTTTTCCTCTTTCTCTTCATCCCCAAACTTTTAGTGGTCGCCATTATTACCTCACTCACTTTGCCCTCAAGTTGAATGGGTATGTCTACGGTAATGAGGTTTTGTCATCATTTTTGAGGTGTTAATAACGGCAATCACTTTTTTTTTTATCAAAAATGCATTTGATTTTTTGGATTGAGGTCCAACTTTTTGGAAGTTCTTGTACTTTCCAAAGAAACTTGTAGATGAAAATGTCGAGGTGGATTTAGCAATAATTACATGTATCTAATGGTCTATTAAGATTTTAGAGGTAAGTTATAGACGGAAAATATTTTATATATTTGTTGATGAGATTTAAAATATTATTGAATGATTTCTGTGACTTTGAAATTTTGAATTTTATTAGATCAAATTAATCAAGGAATATTTGCTATAAGATAAAAAATATTAAGGTTATGAATGCCAAAAAAATGTATCTTAACTCATACGCTCTTTTGGTTCTGAGGAGCCAAAAGGGCGTGCAGAAAGATTTATTTTTCCAATCAACTTGAAAATGTGTGTAATGTTTAAATTTGTGGGAAAAAAGAAAAAAATTTTTTTTCGATCTACGCTTTTTTTGGCTTTCACAAGAAAAATTCTAAAAGTCGAAACAGGATACATAAAAAAAATTTTGTTAGTGTTTTCTAACGTTTCTTCTTAAAAAATTGAATGATTCGAACTTCTGGTCGTAAAAAATTGAAAATTTTTTAAGAATTATTAAATTGAGTTCAATTTTTATAAATAAAGTTTCTTTGTAATTTTGATCTTTTGACATCTCAAGAGCCTTTTTTTTATTTTAAGTTTCTATAGCCACAAGTTCAAAATGTTAAATTTTTGAAGCAGATAGTTAGAAAATGTAGAAAAAAAATTTTATTTATAACGCCTTTGTGGCTTTAAGAATTTTTTTAACTTCCCACTAAGAAAATTGAAAATTTTCGAAAATCGGGAAGTTATTGGTTTTACCCCGTTTTTCGAAAATCGAGTTTTCATCAGATCTCGAGATTTTGGGGTGCTAGGAAGCTTCCCTGACTATTACCGCGATGATGTCTGTATGTCTGTATGTATGTATGTATGTATGTATGAGTGTGGATATATGTAAACCTCTGATAACTTTTGAACGGCTTGACCGATTTCATCGTGGTTGGCGCCATTCGAAAGGACTTAACCAAATTTAGATTTTAAATTCAATTTGGACCCATTCGGACCGTTACATTTTGAGAAATCTCAAACAAACTACGAAAAAAATTAGGAAAACGGTTGACCCTAAAGGCCATCCCTGCAACTTCCCGCTAATTTCATACCTAGGCGCTTAAAATAGCACACTGATAAAAAAATTAACTTGACTCAAGAGCGAAACTCTTGAACCAAGAATTCCATTTTGAAGAAAATAATTTTCTTGAGTCAAGAAAATAAATTCTTCGAACAAGAAAATTTCCTTAGACCAAGAATAATTTCTTAGCTGAAGAATTTATTCTCTTGACTCAAGAAAATCATTTTCTTCAAATGGGATTCTTGGTTCAAGAGTTTGGCTCTTGAGTCAAGTCAACTTTTATATCAGTGCACTTATATATTTATGAGCTCGGGGAGCTCAAAAATACAATTTCTGTGTTATTTTGAGCTCAAAGAGAGAGCTTTTCTATGCTTTTGAGCTCTTCGAGCGCGGTTGGCGCCATTCGAAAGGGCTTGGCCAAACTCAGATTTTGAATACAATTTTGACCGATTCGGACCGATAGATTTTGAGAAATCTCAAAAAAACTACGAAAAAAAATTGTTTCAAATGTGGTTTTTTTTGAATAACTTTTAAACGGCTTTACCGATCGATTCTAAAAACTAATCAGCTCTTAACATAAAAAAATCACGTTCATTGCTGCTAAGCCGGTCGAAATCGGTCGATTCGTTCGTGAGTTATCGTTGACAAAAATAATCGAGAAAAGTGATTTTTTCGAATTACACCGAAATTTTCGGTCTGATCAATTTGTGTTCAAAAGTTTATCATAGAATTTGAAAAACTGCGAGCCCAGTTCTTCTTTGTCCAAAACACGAAGTATTTTTTAAATACACTGTCCTTTGGTACATGAAGATTTTTAAGCCTTAAACTCCTTTTGAGTTGATATTCAGTCAAATAAATACAAGCAACAGTTGAATTTTGTTGAGCTATGATCGCACATTTCTTTAAAGTTAAACGATTTCTTGAATGCAAATACTTTTGATCTTCTTCGGTCACCGAAAAAATAAATTATCCTCATTAAGAGACGTTGCATAGGTGACATTATCCCCATACTCAGTGACATACTCACAATGTCCATAATTCCTTCACTCACGTGAAATTGATTGTTTATAATTATGATTACTGCAATAAGCACCAACATCAAGATTGCGATAAAGATGAGAGGGAGATTTATGTTAATTTCTCTAAATGCTGTCAAATAATCAGTCTTTTTCGTTAAAATTGAAAAGTGTATTTCTTCATACTGCGTAATAAAATCCGTCAATTTATAATTTGTGTCAGCTAATTGATTTTAGTTCATTAAACGCATCATAGTAACGAGTGTGCAATTTGACATCGATACTATTTTTTATCAGCGTTAAATTAAAATAGTAGTTGTGCAGATGAATTGACGCTGATAATTTCATATTATCAGGTAATGAATTCAATCCCATGTCTTTAAACTTTTTAATAAATTTCATGTACTTACTGTGCCTTTCCTGCATAAATGGATAAAAGCTATTAAATATATTTCATGACTGTCCAAGTAATGAGTTTTATCAAAATAAATATTTTGATAGTTTTCTTTGAAATCTGAAAATAAATTAAATTTATTTTAATAAGGAACATAACTCATCAATTCTTCTGATTTTTCCAAAGAGTGAGTGGGGCAACCAAACGTTTTCTTTCTATTATATAAACTGGGAGAAAAATATGGTTCTCTGAAGTAGAAAAATCTAGTTAAATAGTATCACCACTATTTAATTGAAGTTCTTTTACCTAAATTTATTTATTATATTGAACCCCAACACATAGTTACTTAGACTATTTTTAGTTAAATATAAGCTTAATAGTCATCTTGATTCACTCTTCACTCAGAAAATAGAAAAAATAATCCAGACAGCCTGAACCAGGAATCTTCCAGTTAAAAAGGTATCATGAAAATTCACTATTCTTACAATATTCTTCGATTTCTGAATGCGCGTACTTTTAAGTGTCCTCTGTACAAATAATTTTTTTAACTTCCCGTTAAGAAAATTGAAAATTTTCAAAAATCGGGAAGTTATTGGTTTTACCCCGTTTTTCAAAAATCGAGTTCTCATCAGATCTTGACGTTTTGAGGCCCTAGGAAGCTTCCCTGAATGTTTTCGTGATGATATCAGTATGTCTGTATCTATGTATGTATGTATGTATGTATGTATGTATGTATGTATGTGTATGTGTATGTGTGTGTATGTGTGTGTGCATGTATGTATGTGACCCTCTTATAACTTTTGAACGGCTTGATCGATTTCATCGCGGTTGACGCCATTCGAAAGGGCTTGACCAAACTTAAATTTTGAATGCCATTTAGACCGATTCGAACCAGTAGATTTTGAGAAATCTCAAAAAAACTACAAAAAAAATATTTTGAAATGTGGTTTTTTGGAATTACTTTTAAATGGCTTCACCGATCAATTTAAAAATCTAATCAGCTCTTGAAATCAAAAAACCACGTCGATCACCATAAGCCCAGTCAAAATCGGTTGATTCGTTCGTGAGTTATCGTCGTCGAAAGAAAACCGAAAAAAGTGTTTTTTCGGAAATACTTCGAAATTTCTGGCTCGATCGATTTAAACTTAAAGATTCTTCATGGGGCTTCAATAACAGCGTCGAATGCCGCCAACCGCGTAAAAATTGGTTCATTTATTCAAAAGTTATTGCCGTTTGAAAATTCAAAAAATTGTTTTATTAAACTGCTATTAGAGTTTTGAGCTCGAAGAGCTCAAAATGACACAAAAATCATATTTTTGAGCTCGAAAAGCTCAAAAACGTAATGTGTAATTTTGAGCGCTTAAGTACAAAATGAACGGGAAGTTGCAGGGGTGGCCTTTAGGGTCGACCGTCTTCCTAATTTTTTTAATAGTCCTTGCGGTGCTAATTTTCGAAATATTAGCAATTAAAAAAACGCCATTCGGCCACACCCGAAATGGAAGGTAGATTTCACTGAATGAAATTCTTGATAGAATGACGTACATAAGTCGGTTGTACTACTCATTGCCTGAAAATGGTTCAGTTGCACTCTTAACTTTGATAAAATAACTAAAAATGGTCAAAATTTTAATGTTATATCACCAAATTAAAGGTAATTTCATGAGCTATCACATGAATTTTTCAAAAATTAGCTATCTCTGTTCAATCAAAAGTTATACATCAATGAAGTGACCAAAAACGTGATTTTCACTATTTTGAAAATTTTAAATGGCTGCCATTTCTAAACTAATTGATCGATTTTGCTCATCTTCGAACTCGTTCAAGGTAATTACCCAAAGAATATGTGTACCGAATTTCATCTAAATCCGTTGAGAATTGTAGACGCCATCGTGTCCACAAGCCGCGTTATATTATATATATATACATAAATATATAAACTTTTGAACTAATGCTAATTTTGAGCTTTACTCGACTACATAAGAGATAAAATTCCGTGTGAATTCCGACACAAGGTCCAATGCAATAGATAGATTTCTACAAAATCTACCTAAAATCGTACATCTAACATGTATTCCCTATCCTGACCGTAGTTAGAGTAATCATTTTATTGAATAACAACCATAATTTTCTTCGAATTTTTTTGAAAAACTGAGAATATTTAATTGAAGTTATAGCAAGTATTTTTTTATCAAAAATAACAGGAACGAGCGGTATTCATTTTTTTATTAATAATGTTTGAAGTTAGCGACTTTCGATATTTTACGTGAGTGGAAGTAAATGAGCGATAGTCTGTAAAGAGAGGCAGCACTAGTGCGTGAGAAAGAAACCAATAGCCACAACCTATTGGTGTCTTTTCTTGCTGTGATACCTCCTTAATGCTCGTTAAGCTACCTGAGACATCGTTCATAACGACTTTTCAGTCACCTAATTATTTTTTTTTTTTTACACGGTAACAGAAAAATATTTATTAAAATACACTCCATTTAACTTTTTATCAATAGATACTTCAACTAATGCATAGTTCAAGTAACTACAAAAAAAAAAAGTTTAGAAAACTATATTTTTATACTTGTGACAAGGTTGTGGAGCGTATTGTTAATAAGGTTTCAAAGTGTAAACGATGGTCGAATTTTTGTTATGATCATAACACACGTAGTATGCTACTAATATATCGAAGCTTCCGAAGAAACGAAGAACCTCACTAGCGTTTATATCATATGGCCCTTCAGAATGGTCGAGAATGAAAATTGCTGATTTTATATTCCGGATTTTTGAGGGCATGAACTCAAAAATAAGTGTTGCGAGTTTTGGGATTGTTTCAAATGTGAGGACATGCGTAGGATAACTGGAAATGTACCCTTTGATTTTGCACGCCTTATAAGCGAAGCGTTGAGGTTGTGCTCTACTCTCGACATTTCAAAAAAAGCAGTTTTCTCGAAACTGAAATTGATTTTTTGTTGTTTATATCGCACTTACAGATTAATATGAGTACACTTATATCAAGTCAAATAATTTGTCAGGCACTTAAAATTTATTTCAATAACAATTTTTTTGTTTAACATAGTAAATAATAACATTAAACATAATCTTTTCTGGACGACCGTGTATGGATGGGTTTATGTGGCAGGGAAATTGGTCGAAAAAATGATCGAACCGGAATAATTTTTTTTTTATTATCTAAAGTAACACACGACGGATTTTCTTAATTAATATGAGCGTTCAATTCACTGTCGTTAAATTATTATTGATAAAAAACTAATTTATGACTGTGGATTTAATTGTATATCTATCTATACATTTTATTATAGTATTTTTTTTCCTCACCTCAGAGTTATGGCGCCACTAAACATAGCAGAGTTATCTGTTTTTTATTATTTTGCTTTTTATCATTTATTTTAATCAATTTTATTGTGAAAAATGAGATTATGAGGCGTGCACTTTTGAATTTTCCAAACTTTTTTCGTCTTTAAGATCACTATTTACTACAATCAGCGGATTCTGATTATCGACATTTCCACTTGCCATTTGGTCATCAACTAAATCAGAAGATATTATTAGCGAATTCGAATTTTTCATGAAACCTTTATCAATTGATCCCATCTGTAAAAACAATAAACGATTCGGAAAACTATCATAAATAATGAATATTAAATTAAAAAAAAACCATCAACATCGTATGATTCATGAGACGCATTTTGATTTCCGAAGTGTGAATATTGCTTCCATCTGAAAAGTGGCCAATAAATACGCAACAAAAGCATAAAATAATCTTTAAGAACTGCATTGTTTAGTTAATGATATTCAATTTCTAAAACCAATCTTGTACAATATCACAAATTTTTGAATACTCTAGAAATTTTCAATATATTTGAATTTGCGACGAGTATTCGTCTGGCAAGCTTGCGACTAAGCATTATGAAGTCAAGTGATCGACTGAACGCTTTGCAAAGTGTATGACTTTGTTTCGAATTGTTGCCTTTGACAACTGCAGTTTACAGTGTAAATGAACATCGTTAAATCTAATGATAAGCCTCTTGGGAAAGACACGTTAACTAGACCAACTATTAATTCAGTTCTGGAAAACAATAGTTATTACTTCTAAGAGGCTTTTAAAGTTTTCCCTTGTGAAATACCAACGTGCTGGACGGTATCGACAGAAAACTGCCCAGATAGTCCACTGACTTTACTCTTACCCGTTCTGGAAACTAATTAAATAGTGGAATTTTATTGATCTATTTTATGTAAAAAAATCCGTAGATTACGAAAATAATAATAAAAAAGCTCAACTCCCCCGCGTTTTTTAAAAAAATAATAAAATTACACTAGGGTCGCTAAGACATTGTGTATTTTCATCAAATAACTTATATATATTACTGTAAAGCCCTATTAAAATTGGTATTGTATTAAAGGGCAAAAAATTCTGAATTAGAAACTACAGAAATAAACCCTTTGCAGTTAATTAAATTCGCGAAAAAAATTAATGGAAAAAAAAAAATATTTGTTTACGTTTAATCACGCGGTCGGTAACAAAGCAACAGTAACTGAGGTTGGTGGCGCGCGCGAGCCCGGGCACAGTGGTTTTCATCCACTGCAATTTGAAATGTTGACAATATTCTTTGACATAGAAATTCAATGAATTCATCACAAGAAAAGATTACATACAAGTATGATAATATTTTTAAAATAATAGAAAATTGAAAAAAAAATTCTATTTCCGGTTATTATTAAAAATTATCTTAGTATTTAAAAATTGGCAGTGGATGAAAACCACTGTGCCCGGGCTTGCGCGCGCCACCAACCTCAGTTACTGTTGCTTTGTTACCGACCGCGTGATTAAACGTAAACAAATAATTTTTTTTTTTTCCATTAATTTTTTTCGCGAATTTAATTAACTGCAAAGGGTTTATTTCTGTGGTTTCTAATTCAGAATTTTTTGCCCTTTAATACAATACCAATTTTAATAGGGCTTTACAGTAATATATATAAGTTATTTGATGAAAATACACGGTGTCTCAGCGACCCTAGTGTAATTTTACTATTTATTTAAAAAACGCGGGGGAGTTGAGCTTTTTTATTATTATTTTCGTAATCTACGGATTTTTTTACATAAAATAGAACAATAAAATTCCACTATTTAATTAGTTTCCACAACGGGTAAGAGTAAAGTCAGTGGACTAAGAAGTTTCTACATTGAGCTTATGTTTCAGTAATCTTCCATCAATAAACATATAAAGTCACATGAACTTGACCTTTTGCTTCTACATATTTCTAATATAAAATTACTGTGATCTATATTTTTTTTTACTTTTTTAATAATAAATTACGATTATAAATTCGTTTTTTTTCGATTGCTTAATATTTATTTTGTTTATTTTATATGCTAATTATTTATTTTTTGTTCTTTTGATTTAAAATCCATTTGTGTAATAATATTTAATTTAACGCTAAATAAAATTTAAATATTTATGATACCCAAATCAACAGATATCTGATAATGTTTTTGATTTTTATTAAAAATTAATTATCAAAAGAAAATATTTTAGAAAAATTTGATTTTGTAATTTTTTTAAATTTCTAGTTGTCACATTTTTTGTTAATATTTTTTTAATAATAATGTAGTTGTTATAAAAATCCAAAAAATTGAAAGATGTCTTTTAATTCAGTATCATAAATATTCATTAATCAATAATCGCTATTTATCATATTTAGTTAAAACTAAAGAAGCAATTTATCGATATTTTTATAGTTTTGAGAAAGTAATGTTTTCATTACAAATCGTTTTCCTTTATAATTTTATTTAAGTAAATAAATAATTCTATGCTAATTTTCTTATTTCATGTTTTTTAAGTTTAATACAATTTAGGTCAATGCAGAAAACTAAAAATTATTTTTATTTTTAAAGATCAATTTTCAAGGCATTTCCATAAAACATTAACGTCATTTATCCTTGCAAATGAAAAATTATAATCGTTTAGAAATTTCGTCAAGAACAAAATTAAGTTAATAGCCGAAATGAAGTTAAAAAATTATTTTACTAAAAAAAAAGAATAAAAAAAAATGAATATCAACTTAAGCCCGCGATTGACAACTTAGTTAACCCTCTGAACCAAATGAGCGTTCCCCCACTTCGTAACTTATCGTCCGTCGTACATAGTCTTAACCAAGGTATCCCGAGGCCAAGTTAGTCAAGTTAGTCGGGCTCGACACTAAAGAATTAAATAAAAAAATGAATTTTACAAAAATTTTTTTCTGTAATCTTGCCATTTTTTTTCGGTCATATATGTATCCACATATGCATATGTGAAATGTTGAAATACACGACTTGGAGCTTGTGCATTTTACATAATGTGTACCTATTTATATGCAGGTAGATACAACGACGGTTCGCTTACCGTACACACCTATCTCGAAAGAGCAAGTGCAGCGCTTCAGAGAGCTGTTAAGAGACTCAGCTGACGTACACAGTCTATACTCAGTACTTTGCAGTTTACGGTGTACGACGCTTCTCTCATACTTCTCTACTTCCAGTGACATGAATAATCGCGTCGATTTACCCGGAAATCCAAAAGGTTTTTACTCCCCTTTCCAAGCACTCTTCTCCGGAGAAATTACTGTATCTCGACAAACGAGCGAAGGATAAACCTGATCCTTTTACTTTTGTTGCCTTTTTTCTTCCAGCTACTGATACTAAAAATACGATTTAATTATCTGATGAAAATCTTACTTTGACTGTTTGAATCACTACATATGATACTTTAATGCTTTGGGCAATGAATTACTATCGCTATCTTTTAAAATGTTAAAAATTTTTGGTTCGATTTTAAATGTACGTGAACTGTTTTAATTATAATCAATTAGTCATGGTCTAAAAAATTAAAAAAGTAATCACTTGGCAAATCTATTGATGATTCAAAAATCGCGTTTTTGTATTTGTATATTATCTATATAATTATTTAATCTTTAAAATTATACAATTTTTTGACATTAGTTTTTTTGTCATGAATTTTGAATGAAAACGGCGTCAATGAGTAACTTTCATGAATTGTTAAGGTTATCAGAATAAATCTTTATTCAACCAAAATAATTTTATTTTAGTTTTTTAAAAGCTTCATTTATCTCTCAGGATTTTTTTTTTTAAATTATGAAAAAATAAAAAAAAAATTACAAATAAAAACAAAGCCTAAATATTTGTATAGTAATCCAGATTTCTAATTTATTTTTCTGATGAATCAATTGACTAATTCGATCGACAACAAATAACAATTTTAGATAGTCTCTTTTGGATTGTGCTTAATTTTAATTTTCAAAGGGTATAGATGTTCGAAGAAAAATTAATTGACAATAAACGATATCACTTTGTTTGAGTTTTTAAATTAATTAAAATTTCTATTAAATTATTCATAAGTATTTTGTTTGTATATCATATAAATCAAATTTTTAATAGTTGTCTTGAGATTTTTAAGTCTGAATATTTGCTATACAGAGTAAAAAAAGACCCCATTCGGCCATACCCGAAATGGAAGGTAGATTTCATAGAATGAGTTATCGTCTTGTCTCAATAACTTTTGTTTAACATGGATAGGTTGTATTACACATTGCCTGAAAATGTTCAATTGAAAATGGTTCAATTGAACTCTTAACTTCGATAAAATAACTAATAATGGTCAAAAAGTTAACATTATATACGTCAAATAAGAAGTGTTTTTATGAGTTTTCGAGTAAATTTATCAAAAATGGGCTATCTTTTTGCTATTAAAAGTTATACATAAATGAAGTCACCGAAAACGTAATTTCTCCTATTTTGATCATTTTGAAGAGCTACTATTTCTGAACTAATCGAAGGATTTCGCTCATTTTAAGGCTCATGCAAGCTAATTGTCAAATGAACTTGTATACTAAATTTCATTGGGATCTGTTACGAATTCTCGACAGAATAACATTCATAAGTCGCCTGCACTACACATTGCCTGAAAATGGTTCAGTCAAACTCTTAACCTTGATAAAATAACTAAAAATGCATATATATATATATATAAATTTTTTAACTAACGTTATTTTTGAGCTTCACTCGACTAGTTAAGTGATATTACGACAAAATTCCGAGTGAATTCCGACATGAGGACCAATGCAATAGATTGATTTCTATGAAATCTACCTAACAAGTTTAGAACATCCATAAGTGCACGACTCATAACGCTCATTGAATTATGAAATAATAATTAAATAAAAAATGTGAAAAAAAAAAAATAAAAAATATAAAACAGCTGTAATAAGACGATAGTGCACAGGCGCCCCCAGTGGAATAATTGTAATATATATAGATATACAGTCTTTTGGTTTTTTTATTTTATTAATTGAAATTAAACGACACTCAGTTACATAGCTATTCGCAATAGGGGACTTACGATTCCTTCAAAGAATTAAAAAAAAAATTGACTCAATTAATGGACTTTTTCGCATTTAGTACAGTGTTTACAGGTTTTATACTTGACGGACGGGAAAATTTTTCAACTATTTTAATGTTTTTTCCCGTTTCTATTGCACTAACATAAATTAATTTTTGAAAAGTATGAAATTAGTCTCCATTAAATTGTTTTTATAATAGTATGCAATATATCTTGACTCCGTGAACTAACAAAGGTTAAATAATAAAAATAATTGTCTAATTAATATAGATAATTAATAATATCTGAACAAAGATTAAAAACTCTACAGATTTATATATCAGAATAGAAATAGATTCATGAAGGGAATGTGTAAAAAAATTAATTTATTTTATATTTC